AAAACAGTGGAAATCATCTGCAGTTTTTTAATCACCAAGTTCAAAACTTTTTGATCTTTGCAATGTAAAGAGCAAAATTATGAAGATGGCATTGAGTCACTGTTTTGTGTTTCCTTTGTTAAAGTCTGCATGTAATATCCATCTTTAAATTCAACAGGAAAAACCCAAGTTACAAAATGTTATAGTGTCAGTCACTCCTTATTTCTTTGGAATTTTCTAGAAAAATTGGAAATGGATGCAGTTATTTACTGAAACAGCCAAACATACATTTGTGCTCAGAGCAATTAGTATACTGAATAATTAGATGCTCTGATATGTTATGATTGTATTGAAGTTTTGTAATGACATTTTTGTACATGTATATGTGGGTTGATATGAAGTCACTTGATTGATTTATAACTTGGTGAACCAAAGAGAATTGTCCATTGATAATAAATTGTGGATAATAAAGTTATTCTAAATAAAAACAAATGTGGGGTGGCTCAAGATTTTTGCACAGTACTGTAGGCTTCTGTTGGAATCTTGCATTTCTTCCTGTATTGTGCTACCAGTGTATCTGTTTATGTCTGTGTACAGGTAAATTATGCCTAAATCTCAAAATTAGGTCTTTCCTTGTGTAAGAGCTCCTTCATGAAAAGGTAGGACTACAACTGGATTTATTTATTTATTTTTAAGTGGGCTGTAAGAATACAGGAACATTAACTTGGCTCTTTTAATAAGCCAGGAGTCAAACAGACAAATACATTAGATCAAATCTACAAATACACTTATTTTAACCCTGTTTTCAAACATCAAAATGAGTAAAGCAAGTAAAATTTGGCACCACTATTATATAAAACATCAACTTACTTACCTCATTTTAATGGACAAATTGTTGTCCATAAAGATATATGGACAAAAGAAGGTACACCTCCCCCTGGTGGGTGAATCTGGTATTGCAAGTGAAAAGTTTTGCATTTGTAATTCAGTTTAAAAATGCATTTAAAAAAGAAAAGTAAGAAAGAAAGCTGTGACATTTAAAAATGATTAATTTTATGAGCCACTTGTGATCCTGAATTCTCAGCAGTTTTTTTCTGTAATTTCTGTGTCACTGTTGGAGTAAATATTTTTTATACATAAATGATCTCCGTACATGAGGGACCTCTGATAAGATGAAAAAGATTGTGTAAGATTGTGTCATATGTTACATGAGCTATATTTCCACTATAATGTGCCCACTATATGACGCCCTAATAGTGACTTCATTACTGGACCACAGTTATTGTTGTTCATGATGTGTATGTGGGTGTATATAATGCATAATCATAATATGTTTGCTATAGATTATTAATCTGAAGTCGAGACACAGCCTGGCATTTTGAATTATTAAAAGTTCACTGATATAACTGAGGTCTTGATTTAATTTGCAAATCTTCACTTCCATAACTTTTAAAGCTACATGCTTGTGGAGGTTTGCGCCATTGTAGCGATTAAACACATACAAAATATTACATCAATATTTTATACTTAGAACATGCAAATGCAAAGTACCCATCCTCAATTATCCAAATCTTTTTTTTATGATTACACACGAATCTTTGAAACCTTCAGCCTTTCAGTGATTTATTTTAACACGACAAACAGAATCAGAACTTCAGATGAAGACTGTTAAAGTCTAGAGTCTATTTGATTG